AACCAAAACCAAGGATGTGGGCCTAATCAAAACCAGGTGGGTCCACCTGAACTTAAGTGTTTTACGTGTGGTAAACCAAGCCATAAATCGGTTGAATGTGCGAGGGGTGATAAAATAAAAGGGGCGATATTTGTAGAAGATGAGAGTGAAACCCAATTAGAAACATTGACTATTCAACCCCACCTGTGTTTGACCTTTATGATGAAGAAACCTTAAAGGGAGAAATGGTGTATGGGGATGTGGGAGAGGCCTTGGTGATGCAAAAATCATTCTCAACTCCTAGTGATAAACCATTGGATTGCTAAGAAATAATATTTTTCACACCACGTGAAATATGGGTGGAAAGTTTGCAAGCCTTGTAATTAATTGCAGGAGTTGTGAGAATGTTATAGCGGAAGTAGCCGTCCACAAGTTGAACCTAAAAGCTCAACAACCACTTCACCCCTACAAACTTGCATGGCTAAAAAGAAATAATAAGGTTTCAGTTACACAACGGTGTCTAGTGAGCTTTTCTATTAACAATAATTATAGTGATCATGTGTGGTGTGATATTGTATGCATAGATGCTTTTCAGTTATTACTTGGGCACCCATGGCAATTTGACCGCTATGTAGTCCATGGTAGATAAAAGAACACCTAACCTTTTGAGTTTAAAGGGAAAAGGTTGACCTTATGTCCATCACAAGAGACTATACCTAAACCGAAATCCGATGAGAATTCTAGCCTTTTTGCCATGACTGAATTCACAAGCACCTTAAAGGAGATGGGTGTTGCATATACTTTAATTAACAAGGGGTTTGAGCTAAAAGGTGTGATGTTCCATGGAGGAGTTATTAGTTTCAGAGTTAGAAGGTAAAATCAAATCTTATGACTTTGTTGTTTGCTTTAATATTGTTGAGGATTATTATGAAAATCTTGCATGGCCATTCTCCTCAACAACATCTATTGAAGAACAACATGTTGATTGGAACAAACCTCCGATATACGATGAAAAACCCATTGCTCAAGAAGAATAGGTTATCATTTATCATGATTTTCAAGAAGATTGAGACAATATTTATCATTTTGGAGGCTTTGATAGCATTGTCTTCATACAAGCCTATGAGGATCCATATTGGCAATCATTTTTGCAAAGTTTAGAATGGTCAGTAAAGAGATAACTAAATTATTTGAAGATCAAAAATTGTGTTTCAAAAGTTAAGAAATATAATAAAGACATTCCAATTCGTATTAGAGGGTTACACCACCAACTGTTTATTAGAAAGTTGGAAACAGAGAAGCACAAATGAAGCACAATACGTAATGTTGGAAGACTCTCACATGGTAGCATGAATCCGATGATAGATTCTCCCCAACCTAGGGATGATGATGCAGTATAAGATTCGGACCAACTGAGTAAATATTTACAAAGTTGATTTTCGAAGTCTCATCTTATTACATATAGGGAGATGATGATGTAGCATAGAATGAAGCTAATAAATTCTATGCAAGTTGGGACCATTTCAAGACACATAAGAAGCAGAGATGAAGCCACTAACCCAGCTTAGTAAATACTTACCAATATAGCATCATTACAAAATTTCTATCTTAGTTCATTTTTACCAAGTTGGCGCCACCGTAGAGTTTATATCTTAGTGAGATTTCAAATTTATATTCAATTATGACTTTCTTTTTGAAGAGTTTTAATAGGATTTTATTATGAAATGTTTTCTTATATTAGGATTGCTCAATTAAGACTGTTTTTGAGTAATTTTAGTAGGATTCTATTATGGAGTGTTTTTATAGATTATGAAACTTTCTTGTAGGAGCTATAAGGGTGTATGCCTATATAAAGAGTAGTTAGGGAAAGGCTAAAATAGCTTTTGATATTGAATTTTCTTTTAATTATTCAGTGAAGAATTCTTCTTTCCGGTAATTCGACTTTTGTTTTTTTCTTTGAAGCTTTTTCTTAACGTGTTTTATTTCTATACTACGCCAGGGATGAAGCTGTTTGGTGGCATTGGCGTGCTTGACTGCGCTTTCTATGTCCTGGGCCTTGAACCTTTCTTCCGCGACGTCTAGGGCACATCGTGCAGCCGGTTCAACCATGGTCACTATTGCTAGAGGAGGTGATAAAAAGGAACTCGGAGCAAGTACTAGAGAGAGAGAGAGACGATGATGATGATGATCTCCACAAGAGTATATATATAGGCTAAAACACTCTTTTACGCGGCTTAAGTTCTTGTTGTTGCACTGCAACTCTAACTCTCTAAGCCTCTAAGGATAGAAAACACGTCTTAGGAAACTCGATTAAATGAGCATTCTAATTTCTAAATAATGTGGTAGTAGTTAATCATGACCCATATTGAATACGGCACCTACTCCATTTTTGAGAGCCACGGCCACTAACTTTCCAGGTTTTTGAAGCATTGAAGTTGATTAATTATTTGATTGGGGGTTGCATAAAAGTGTTGCATCCATGATTGTTTGCATAAAAAACATGAGTTACTTTCTAATATATATTTTTATTTTGAATTAAAATTTATATAGCCCCTCTAAGTGGGAGGCTAGGTCTAGACATGAATTTGAAGGAAGAAGACAAACCATAGTTAGCCCCACATTTAATAATATTCAAATTATTAATACTTTTTTATTTTCACAAAATTCATAACTATAATTTGTAATGACAATATAAATTATAGTTATATGGTTCTTCAATTTAATTAAAAATGGCAACAGAGCGGGGATTACATTCCCCATCCCCGATCCCGACTCCCAAATCATCCCCTATTCCCATCTCCGATCCCCATCAGAAAAAAGAAATTATCCTCCATCTCCGACCCCGACGGGGATGGATTCCCCATTTTTATATTATTTTTAATATTTTTTAATTATACATTAAATAGTTTTTATTTTATTTAGTGTGATCTATTTGTAATTTTTTTTTAATTTAATAGTGTCATATCAACATTTTCTATTATTTTATCCATTATTTAATGGATTGTGCCCTTTTTTTAAGTATGAGGTCTAAATTGGCCCCTTTGATTATAAAAGGGCAAAAGTGGTCTTTTCGCAAATTACAGGGGCTGTTGCCTGAAGACTTTCCTTTAATATATAAGATAGATTCTTAACATGGTCAAGTGATCCTACTAAAAATACCCCAAAGAAAACAAAACTATCCAAAAATAGAACAAAAAAGAAGGGTAAATTACAAAGACCCCCCCTATACTTTGTTTTGTGACAAAGACCTTCTTTCGTTAGCTTTCGTTGAAATCCGTTTCAATTCCCGTACTACCATCGTAATGAATATTTGGGAGAACAACATTGTTCATCTTCCCTGACCTCACGATACAAACAGTAGCAACAAAGAAGGAGCATTGTCATATAATAATAAATCTAAATTCTCTAATAAACCTACCAAATACATCTCTCTTTCTTTTCCTTCTCTGCTCTACTTGCTCATTGGTTCAGAACTTCATTCAGATCTCTCTCGACCGCAATAAAGCAGCTTCTTCTTTCTTACTGCTTCTGCTGAAAATGGTTGCCCACCTTCTGCATCGGCTACTCTTGCTTTTATTAGCCAAAATGTTGCTCCTCCGATCAACTTTCGCCGTCGATTTTGTCTTCAATGGCTTTAGTTCATCTGATCTTGTATTCTACGGCACCGCAACGCTCGAATCCCGTCTGCTCCTCCTCAAAAACACTACCACCTTTACCGTTGGTTGAGCGCTTTACAATTCTAAGATACCTATGAGGGCCCCTAACACGTCTGTTATCCTCCCCTTCTACACCTCCTTCATCTTCTTTATCGCTCCAAACAACTGCCAACTCTACGGCTACGGCATCGTCTTCATCTTTTCTCTTACCGGCGGAATCAATGGCACCACCTCTTCTCGATATCTCGGCTTCGTCAACCATACCAACAACGACAACCGCAATAATCACTTGTTTGGCATCGAATTTGATGTGTTCAAAAATCAAGAGTTCAACAATATCAATAATAACCACATTGGCGTCGACGAAAACTTGCTCACGTCGAAGACCGCCGAGCCGGCCGTTATTGGGGTGAAGATAGAATAGCCAAAATGGGACCTTTCATGATTTGACGCTCAACAATGGCGTCAACTATCAAGTATGGATTGATTACTCGGATTCTCTACTTAATGTCACTATGGCCTGAGCCGGAATGAAAAGACCTCAGCAGCCTTTGATTAGTACTCCTGTCAACCTCTCCAACATTCTCCTGGATGAAATGTATGTTGGTTTCACTGCGGCAACGGGACGGTTAGTTCAATACCATAGGGTTCTTGCTTGGAGCTTTAGTAATTCGAATGCCTCCATCGAAGATTCCTTGACTACTTTGAATCTACCAAGGGAGAGAGCAGAGATGGAAGATTGGGAATTGGAGTATTGGCCCCACCGGATGAATTATCAGGAGATTCACACGATGACAAAGGGGCTCTCGGAAGAAAGCGTAATTGCACATGAGACTAATGAAGCACATTGCCCACGGGGTTGCTGTGAAGCGCATTGCCTACGTGACTGATTAAGGCATGAGAGAGTTCTTGGTAAGTACAGGAACTTAGTTGGAAAGAGATCTGATCGGAGGAGCAACATTTTGGATAATAAAAGCAAAAGTAGCCAATGCAAGTAGGCAGTCATTTTCAATGAGCAAGCGAGAGAGATCTGAATGAAGTTCTGAACCAATGAGCAAGTGGAGTAGAGAAGGAAAAGAAAGAGAAACGGTGTTTGGTAGGTTTATAAGAGAATTTAGATTTATTATTATATGACAATGCCCCTTCTTTGTCGCCACTGCATCGTGAGGTTGGGAAAGATGAACAGTGTTTTTCTCCCAATTGTTTAAATATTTATTACAATGGTAGTATGGGGATTAAAACGGCAGATTTCAACGGAAAGCTAACGAAAAAGAATCTACCTCATGGTCATAGTACAGGGGTCTTTGTCACAGACCCCATAGTACAAGGGGGTTATTTGTAATTTACCCAAAAAAAGAATATAAATAAAGATAAATCACGATTCATGTTTTTCATATTCAGCCTCCAGGAATTAGGCTTCCTGCCGGACCCAAAACTGCCTTTGATTGTTTTTGTAATCAAATAATCCACAAACGTAAAAATGAAAAAAAAAAGAAGAGAGAATCCTACTCTTCCTCTTTAATCTTCTTTGATTTCCCTTGTTTGGAATGTCCGGACTCCCACGATGTAACATCACTATGACCTGTTGTTCCCTCTGAATTTCTAGTTCGATCCATGGATCTCGTAGGTTCATTATTGTACCTTTTCTTGGGGCGCTTTGATGGTTCTCCACTTTCAAAACGTGATGAACTTCTTTCTTTTATACTGGATATTCCACTTGAATAGTGGGAAGCTCTCTGCTTGGTGCTCTGACTTGGGGTTGCGAAAGTGTTTGCAGTGGAAGTCCCTCCAGATCTATACATCATACGATTTGGATGATTATAAGGTTTTTCCAGTTCGCTTGGTTCTGGGTAATGGACTAGACAAACCCGCCGAGAAATCTTCCCAACTGCAACATTAGAGAGAATATCACATAACTGTCTTAAATAATATAATAAATAAAATAAATAGATTGGCATTATAAAAGAAATGAAACAGAAACAATAAAATAAATGCAGCTTAAGATGTGCTACAGAGTACCTAGATAACATTGAGCCAATTTTTTTCTTTCTTTACCTTACTTTTCTTTTTCGTTTTTTTGTTGCTTAGGGGGGGGGTGTTACTTCTGTAAATCTAACCTGACTAATGTTATCTTGAAAAAAAGAGTTAAAAGAAGGTAGGGTGGTGATTATCAAACCAACTATATCCTACCAGAAAAAACAACGCAAAGGCCCCTTCACTCACAGCACAGAGATGGATCAAAAGAAGAATATAGAGAATGTGTTCCAACCAACGCAAAGCCCACAGAACCCAACCACATCTATATCGTTCCTGTGTCAAGATCATTTAATATATGCTTCTAGTATGGCATGCTTCCAAAAAAAAAACATTTTGGATATCTCTTTTTTTATTATAAATGAGTGAAATTTTATTAAACCAGCAAATAAGAGTTACATGCAACCCGTGGAAAGGCACGAGATGCGACCTTAACATCTTAGATATCTCATGTAAAGTCATCTTTGAGTTCAGGCTTTTGTTGAGTCTGGGACAAAGGTATGTCCTTGTCCTTTTATAGGATAATAAAATCTAAATAATCAAGCTATGGATAATTCTTTCACCAATTTATGCAGAAGAGAGAGAAAAATCAAATTTAGATGCAAAAATGAAAAACCACAGCAAAATAAGTTAAAAAATGTACTAAGGTTTACTGCAGCCAATTGCATCAAATAGTAATTCATACCTACCATTTCTTATACCTGACAAAAGAATAATCATATAACAATTCTCAGCCAACCGCTGATTTGGCACAGAGAATAATCATATTTTTTAATCTTCCTATGGCATTCTTTGTTTGTGCACAAAGAATTGTTATTTTCCAAGATATTACCGGTATGTTGAATGCCAGTCAGAGGAGTATCTGAAAATGAAGATTTACTGGACTTTGTTTCCTGTCAGTTTTTCACAGTTTGGTTTGAAGGAAAAGGAAAGGGCAGGTAGGGAAACCTGGAAAGGTAGGGAACCTTCCTTTCGCTACCTTTTCCTTCAAACCAAACACAACCTTAGAGTAAACTTGCACACAGACAGGTAACTTTGTAGAGGTGCAGGTCTAAGGTATAAATGAGAATTACTAGAGGTTTCTCAATGCAAGTGAAATCAATTGGAAAACGAATGCAAAAAAGACAATGAAATGCTAATGCATACCAATTTGTGTCTCTGATGGGGAAGATAGAAAAACAGTTGCATCTGGTTCCTGAGATGCAAAGCTAACCACCTCATACTCTTTTCCTGCCACACATAAATAATCTTATGCCATGGCATATATTCTATGGCAACTAAGTCACATTTTATAAACCAAATTCACAATGCGACTAAAGAGAATGCATTAGCAGGGTCAGTATCTTCCAGTCCCATCATCGAAAAAGAATCACTCTTACCGGATGACCCTTCAAAGCTGCCCATCCGTCCATCTCGATGCAACTTGAGTGTGACCTCCTGCCCATCAAAATCAGGTGTCTGCAATACCCATAAAGCAATCTAACAAGCTCAGTGCCAAGATGATATATTTTCCATTAACAACTGACATCAAATACCTTCAAAGAATTAACAAGATTTTGATGGAAAGATCATGATTACTTGATTATGTGGCCACTGAATAAGCCAAAACTCCGTCGAGTCTGTCAAAGAGATGTCGACAAGTGGGTCCCTTGTATTCTCTTCAAACTCTGGTGGAGGTCTGTAAAGCTGTTCAGTAGCATCCATTGCACTTGCTTCCACACAGAAAACAGAATTTCTGCAGATGAAAAAAATTAAATTAAACGGAAAAAAAAAAAAACATAAACAATAAAACCAGAGTATTCTTTGTTTGCCGATTGTGAACATTGGGAAAAACGGCTCACTTGGGCTGATTTGGAGTTACCACCCATCATAGGATTGAATTGGAGTTGATGAGCCCTCCAAATTATAAATCATTTGGTCCAATAGTGACTCCACATGTGAGGCAATGGTCTAACCAGCCAGGGTAAGACTCAGAACAGGAGAGGGAAGAGATTAGGCACCCCTCTCCCATTTCCAATAGGTGGGGTCAAGTCATATGGGGAAAATAGACAAATACTATCATAAGCCAAATATGAAGGGCTATTCATCACAAGGGTAAAGTTATATGGTGAACATTCAACAATGCATACAAGGAAAATGGTCATATCAATCTTAAAAGAACTTAACAGGAATAAGAAAAGACATCTTGAAAACACTAACCTGACAAGTATGTAAAATCTATACAAGGCTTCATTTAATGAATAATCAATGACTACTAACAGTAAAGAGAGATACTACAACAAGCCACAATAACAATTAAATAAGTTGTGGAGTGTCCTAGTAAGGGGAGGTTGAATATCACACGGGGTGCACAAGCAGCAATGTTAAGATTCTTTCATGAGATGTAAAAATCAGAAATACAAAGCTGCTTAACAAAATGAGAATTGTCGGTCTGAAACTGCTCTTCAAGACAAAATCAACGGTTTAGTATTAAACTGGCAGATGGGAGATTATGCTCCTGGCCACCCCATATGGTTACAACTGGACCCACAGAATTAGAAGTCTTGGAACCCTCCTAAGTCCTTAATGCACACTAGAGCTCTCACTTTCTTATCCATTAGGCCACATAACAGTGAAGCAAAAACAGAGCAAATAACTAATTGGACACTTCAAATCCAAAGAAATTTTGGCCTAAGATACTTGCCAAAGCAAGACTTGGTCAAATAATAAGTTGATTTTCAAGAAGAAAAGCTCAAAACAATCCTATAACCCATATAACAAGAAGTTACTTTAATGGAGTGAGAAATATCTAAACAAATAAGGTATCAGTTTGCAGCTTAAAGAAATTAAAGCTATAAGAGGATATTCTAAATTGGAAACAAATAACGAGGAAATTGAAGGAGGATTAAAGGTATCTCAGCATACCTATTATTTAGAATTTTAAACATTATACAAATCCATTTAAGCCAAGAAGTAATTCCTACCTTATTAATCATTAATGCCCAATGAAACAGACTAGATATTAAGCACTAAATGAATTCACTAGTTTGATAGATACCAGCAGCCATGAACTTTCTGATTGGCCCTCATGGTCAATAATTATGCTTGTCCAAGAGTCAATCACCATTTTGACTACAAATTTCTTTTAATAACAAATGTAAACGTCAACCTGATTTGAGCAATTACAGCAATAAGATGTGACTATAAGCTAGATGAACTAATTTTATTTTAAAAGGGGGAGCCGATTAACGTCTGGTATAACTAACAGAAAAGAAAAGAGCATCTAATATATTAAGGAGTAGTAATTCAAACAGTCTAGGACTAAGAAACGGTGGGCAGAAGCAATAATAAATTGGTGGGTCACTGCCCACCTCAGGAACTGCTTCGAGAGAAAATGATGCACACTTTCCTTCTGTAATACCCGTATTTATAATCATTAGCGCATGTCGCACATGGGCTGTTATAACAGACTACTGACATGGCCTTCTTACATAAACAAATCTGACAGGTGGTCCAGGCTTGTCGTTAGGGGGAGCTTTCTCAGCTGCTGCTTGAGCTGGGCTGGTTCTAGCCATTGGAGTCTCGGTGGGCTGATGTTGTGCTTCACGAGTCTTAACAATTCCTCCCCCCTGGAGATCAACCTTGTCCTCAAGGTTGGACTGTTGGAGTGAGGAAACAGCTGCTTGAGGCTTTCAAAATTTTCCCAGGTGGCATCTTCTGCAGGGAGTTGGTCCCAAACTACCAGAGCTTCTTGGACTATCTTTTTGCCATTCTTAACCCAACGGAATTCTAAGATCTTGAGAGGCTGAACTATCAGTTCCCCTTCACCAGTGAAGGTGGGTAGTGAAGACTGAGAGATAGCTCTGTTTCCCAGATGTTTCTTCAACAAGGAGACATGGAATACGGGATGAAGCCTTGGAGCGGATGGGAGGTCAAGGCGATAAGCAACTCCTCCAATCCTTTCTAAAATACAAAAGGGCCCAAAGAATCGAGGTGAAAACTTCTGCCAAGTTCTGCGGCCTACTGATGTCTATCTGTAGGGCTGTAGCTTGAGGTACACTAGCCCCCCCACCTGATAAGAGATGTCACGATGTTTTTTGTCATATTGGGTCTTCATAGTTTGTCTTGCTCTTTCCAAGTGGTGGTGCTTGAGGGATTGAATGATAGCATCCCTAGCTAGTAATTGGTCCTCTACTTCGGCTACCTAAGTGGACCCCTTCTCGTAGGGTAGTAAGGCTGGCAGTTCCCTTCCATATAGGGCCTTGAAAGGAGTCATTCCGGTGGAGCTATGGTGGTGTTGTACCAATACTCAGCCCACAGCAGCCACTTGACCCACTGCTTTGGCTTTTCTCCTGTGAAACACCTCAAATAAGTCTCCAAACACCAATTTACCACTTCTGACTGTCCATCACTTTGGGGATGGTAGCTGGTGCTGTGGTGTAGGAGATTCCTGAACCTTGAAATATTTGGACCAGAATCTGCTCATAAAGGCAGGATCCCTGTCAGTAGTAATAGACCTCGGTGTGCCATGGAGCTTGGCTACATCTTGGACAAACACCTTGGCAACCTGGGCTGCTGTATGGGGATGTGCTAATGCCAAAATGTGGCTATATTTGGAAAGCCAGAGTCTACCACTACTAGAATTACTGTCCTTCCAAATCCAAAGGATGGGGGTAGGCCGGTTATGAAATCCATAGTTATATCATCCCATACCTGATCTGGTATAGGCAAGGGCTGGAGAAGGCTGGCTGGAGCTTGAGTTTCATACTTGTAACACTGGCAAGTAGGGCATTTGGCAACAAAATCCTAAACTGTCTTCCTCGCTCCAGTCCAGATGTAGTGTGATGCAATTCTTCTATAAGTTCTTAGGATACCTGAATGTCCACCTGTGGCTGACTCATGGAAAAATTGTACGAGGTCCTGTAACAGAGGAGATTGGGCAGGTAGCACCATTTTGCTCTTACAGAAGAGCTCTGAATTGATGACTGTATAACCGGGAACCTTAAGAGGATCTGAAGCCCACTGGGCCCGAATCTGCTGTAGGTGAGGGTCTTGTTGGGCTGCAGCCTTCAATTATTCCAAGAGAGGGTAAATGGGCCTGGAAATGCCTATGGAGTTCAACTCATGGGCCCTAGACAGGGCATCGGCAGCCTTATTGGACGGCCCAGGTTTGTATTCCAGCCTGTAATTGAAGCCTAACAACTTATATAACCACTTCTGTTGTTCTGATGTGTGAATCTGCTGCTCCAAGAGGTATTTTAAGCTGCGCTGATCTGTCCTTATCACAAACTGCCGCCCTAGTAAGTAGGTTCTCCATTTTTGAACAGCAAGAACCACGGCCATAAGCTCCTTTTCATAGGTGGATTTGGATAATGCTGGGCCTGATAATGCCTTACTGAAAAAGGGAGGCTTACCTTGTTGCATTAGTACAGCCCCAATTCCAGAACCACTTGCATCGCACTCGGCGATAAATTCTTGAGAGAAACCGGGGAGGGTGAGAGAGGGGGGTGTCAAGATTGCCTTCTTAAGTGCCTCGAAGGCAGCGTCAGCTTGATCATCCCAAGTGTATTCTTTTTTAACAGCCGTGTAAGCGGGAGCCCGTAATTGCAAATGAAGCACCGATTCTGGGTCTGCTGTGACTGCTCCTTGAGACACTATATGACCAAGGTACTGCACCTGATTCTGGCCAAATATGCATTTTGAGGATTTGACAAATAACTGATGCTTCCTTAGAAGGCCCAAAGTGATGTCTAAGTGCTCAAGGTGGCTGGTCCAATCGGAACTATACATCAAGATATCATCAAAGAAAACCAATGCAAACTGGCGCAAAATTGGGCGGAAGATGTCATTCATAACTGACTGAATGTGGACGGGGCATTGGTCAGCCCGAAGGGCATGACCAAAAACTCATAATGCCCATCGTAGGCCTGGAAAGCTGTTTTAAGAATGTCAGCTGGGTGGACCCGAATCTGATGGTAGCCTGACCTTAGGTCAAGTTTTGAGAATACAGTAGCCATCTTGAGCTCATCAAGTAACTCATCTATGATGGGAATCAGAAACTGATCCTTGACGGTGATCTGGTTCAGAGCACGATAATCCACACAAAACCTCCATGTCCCATCTTTCTTCTTGACAAGGAGAGCTAGGGACGAGTATGAACTCTAACTAGGTTGAATCAGCCCTTGTTGTAGAAGTTCATTTACTATTTTCTCTATCTCCATCTTCTGGTAGTTTGGATATCTGTAGGGGCACACATTCGCAAGCCCTTCTCCAAGTTGAATGGGAATTCGGTAATAGCACCGGCCCACCGGATTGGAAAACACATCTTCATAGGCCTTCAGAAGTTGATTCAAGGCTTATTCTTGGTCTGGTGAGGGTTGTAAGGCCGCTTTAGCTGTTAGCACCGGCCCATTGAGGTTAGGGCCCAACATCATTACAAGAGGGGATTCCAAAAGTTGGCACTGTTTGGCCATAGAGTTATGATCAGCCGCCCTGGTTTGGTTAGGTTCCAAGCCCTTAAGGGTACATTGTTTCCCGTTAACAGTAAATTCCATAGTAAGGTTCTCCCAATCACATACCACCCGCCCCAGTTAGCGTAACAATTGGACACCAAGGACCACATCAGCCCCTCTAAAGTTTAGTGGATGTAAGTCAACGCTGAACCAGTGCCCTTGAACCATGAGATCTATGGCTCAACACACCTCATCACATCTAAGCCGGTTCCCATCAACTACATGGACTGAAAAGAATTCAACC